GGCCACGAACGTTTGGGAGGCACGTGTGGGAGGCGCAGTGACTGGTCACTTTTGCGCAGCCAAGCCATGAGCACGCAGCGGCAGGGGCCATTCCCAGCCGCTTCCAAAGGCGATGGCCAGTCCTCTGCTGGCACCTGCCTCCATGCATCCGGATCCACGCAGCCCCTGCTGCTCTCGGCAGGGAGAGGTATGCACGTGTGCCCTGCGCAGGTACAGGCACCGTGGGGGCTTGCCAAGCGCGGGCACAAACCCAGCTGCCATATGGGAAAGGGGAGAGAAGGAGCAGGGCAAGGACATGTTCTTGGCTTTGCTCGGTTGCGGTGTGTGCAACACTAGTGCCGACAAACGGGGAGGGGGCAAGGTGTGTGAGGGGGCCTGAGGCTCCACGCGCGAGGCACGAGCAGGAGGGCTCATGGCGGCAGCAGGGAGTTTTGAGTCAAGTGAACTCGCTGCTAATCTTCTTCTACACAGTCTTTCTTGCAGGAGGAAATCTTATGACTCCGGGGAGAAGTACGTTGTGTAACTAAGCAATGGTGAACCCGAGTTGTATTTAACAGGGCTTGGCACAGGCAGGACAGAGTAGAATATTCATCCTGAGAGAGCGTGAGAGAGACCGTCTCAGTGGCTCACCCACCGGCTTCGAGTCCTTAAAAGCCCCGGTGTGGCCTTGGGAGAGGAGCTCAAGTAGAAGAAAAAAGAAAAGAAAAAAAGCCCCATAACCCTAAAGAAATCGGCTCACTGTGTGGGGCTTCCCTGCGCTTGTTGTTGAAACATTGCATAATGTCCCTTTGCACTGGGCAGAGCTTTGAAATCCGCAGGATCAAAGCTGTATGGAGCCACTATGGATGTGCCGAGGCAAATTTAAAGGCATTTTACAATTATAGCAAGAAGCACAAAGCCACACTTCAGGCTGCTCTTGCTGTTCCACCGTGACATCTAGTGGCACAGTGCAGTTCTACCGATGAACTGGGGTCTGTGTTTCTGTTTTCAGGCCTACCCCTGCACTCGTGTCCTGAACAGCTTTTCCCATCGGTCTGAGAGATATCACGTAGAACTTTGGAAAAGGCTGTTTTGCCACTTTATCCTATAGGATTTTTCCAGATTTGACAAGTTGGGATTTAAAGCTTTCACAGCATGCAAGAGGGCGTTCTGCTTCCTAGGACGTATCACCGGGTCTCCACGTTTGTGTGCCTTATCTTTGTTTTACAACTTTATGCCACAGAAGCTGAAAATAGACAAAAGGGATCATGGGTTAAAAAGTGTGATCATTTAAAACAGCTTTTACTGAAAAAGGAAGTGAGTTAAAATAAAAAGATCTAGGTCACAGCAGCGTCCAGTTGAAGGCTGGTCTTCCAGATCTCTGAGGTCTGACTGTGCAGTTGTCACTGGGTAAATCTTGTTTGCAAACCATTCTCTAAATCGAATTGTTTCTCATACAGTTGGCTGTGTCTTTCGGTACGAGCCGGGCATAATTTTTGCTCAGCCTGTTGCGGAGTGTTGCGCAAGATCAACAGCATGTGATCTGGTGTTAAAAAAATGCCCCTGAGTCACTGTGTAACCTTTGTCATGCTAGTTAAAAATGTCAAAAATGGCACTGCTGTTTGTGCATGTCCCTCCTGCCTTCTCAAGGGCGGTTCGCGGGGGTGCTGGGCACTCAGAGAAACAGAAAGGTCTAGCCTGTGGGCCTCAGCCCCTCCCTTGACTGCAACCCAAGTCCTAAATTAAACGGCAGGTTAAAAATAATGTCACTAATAAGAAAAGTAAGCAACAAAAGAGAGGCAATGAAAAAAACCACCCCAGCTTGGTGCAAATTTCTTATTGGTGGCAGACACTGATGCCAAAATAGAAACCCTGGAGTTAAAAAGAGCTCCCCAACACACGCCGCAGTGATTTAATTAAGAGCGTGAGCGACGCGCCAGAGAGGCAAGGGCTGGGAACTAGGGGTGCCAGGGCTGGGGGTGTCCGGGGGAACCCCGAGTGGGTTTCGCTCCCAGCCCATAGCTTTTGAACCCGGCCCCGTGGTACCTGCCCGGCCCCAGCCCACGGCGGCCTCACGGCTCGAAGGCAGGAGCCCGGCGGCGGCTCAAGCTGGTTAAAAACGCCCTGAAGAGGGCAAAGCCAGCTGGATGTGCCTTTGCCGGGCAGGCAGTTCGGCA